AGCCACGTCAGAATCATATTTTCGCTCAGGCTTTTACTGTCAGGATATTATTTTGATTTTCGAGACACTCTTATGTTTTCCAAACATTCGAATATTAGTAAAATGACAGCAAATTTATCCATTTAATGTTAACAATGGAATGCAGATTGAGCCAACGGAAGAAGTGATTTCGGTACAGTTCTAAAAATATTGCGCTTCTCGAAAAACAACGTTTTAAACACTTTCCTTCTATATAATTTATTAATATCATTTCGAAATTCACGTTCTCCATATATTGAAGCAAATTAATGAATTTCTGAGATCATATGAAACAAACAATCAATTTATCCTTCCTTTCTTCTTAATACATTTTTCCATGAAAACTTTTTAAAATCTTGTCTTTGTATCATTTAAAAATAGAGATAAGATTTATTTAATTGTAGAGCGAACATTTTGACAAGTTACTATTTTATGATTCACGACACGAATTTCTTTTATACTTACTTCGAAACAGTCTGTATTTGATTATGAGGTTCATTCTGGAACCATTTCAATGCAAACCAGTATTAAAAATGAATTAATTAGTCAAAGAACATTTGAAAGCTGTGTGAGAAGTAGTGTTCCTTAAACATAGATAGACTATATCGAAACCAAGTTGATACAATCGGGCTTTCGGAACTATTGACTGAAACAATCGATAGTATCGACTTTATCAAAACTATCGACAGTTTTCTCCCGGGCAATACTATCGATAGGCGCATTTTCAGTCGATAGTTTTAAAACAATCGACTGGAACTATCGATAGTTTCAAAACTATCGACTGAAACAATCGACTGGAACTACTGATAGTATCGATACTTTCTAAACTATCGACTAGAAGGACACCTATCGATACACGCTGAACTATCGATACCATCTATAGTTCATCATGCTGAACTACCGATGTTTAAGGAACACTAGTAAGAAGACTGGAAACGTGTTTTCTACAAATGGAGTCAATAATATGCCTGTGCGAGACAAAGAAACGGCTTTATTTAATCCATTGGACTGTGCAGCCTGCATCCATTACTCTTTTGAGAGACACTCCAGGATGAGATGACTGGGTCTAGACCTGTGGAAGACCTTAGACCATTTTGGGTAGGCTGGGCCGAGCCGGGTTGTAAATAAATAAATGGGTCTAGACGCCTTGAATATCCAGATTGCTCTCCATCCTACCCAAAGAAAACATCCAATTTATTTTCAGAATGGTTAATGCTTGTCGCGTCGTTTGATTTATATTGGTAAGGATTTGCTGCGGTACAGTTAAGTGTTGGGGCAGAATTACATTGGCCAAAGTTATTTATTTTATTTGAAAGGACGTTGAGGGGAGTTTATAAACAATTCATTTAGTAGAACTTAGCATTATTTCTTGTTTTAATTTTTCTCTTCATATAAGTTTCAGATCGGTGTCATTTACAATCGCCAACGGCACAATATATCTATGGAAAGATGATGCATTATTCTTTGAAATTTTGATATATATTTTTCAATAAAAATGTTTTTAAACATTTTCTTTATAAAATCCTAAAATAAGAATAATCATCATTTAACTGTAGAATACAATTTTGTCAGATATTCTAAGTTGCACGGATTCATGCATTTACTGTGATTTCATTTCCATCTATTACAAATTTTTATTGCAGTAATCTTGAAATGTTCTATATTTGATTACGGTGGCTCATTCGTCAATATAAACTAATTAAAAATGTTTAAATCTTGATTAATTCATTCAAGTTTTAATGATACCAATTAGTTATCAAAACAAAGAGCTATTGACTAAAGTTCTTAACTATCTTAATCCGGCAAAGCCTGAATTAATTATTTTTTCGAATATCAATTTCTTTCTAGTATATTGTTGATAGGATGCTATATATGTATGAAAAGCCTTTTTTTGTTGTAAAATTTCAATGATATTGTCAAAAATGCATGAATGAAAATATTTGCACTATAACGAAGGAAACTGTAATATTTTAAACCTTTATTTATGGCACCATATGGTACTACCGCTAATCTTTCAAGGGTTAAGCAATGAATTTTTGAAGTAGCAATCAGGCTTGTTTAAAACTGGCATGCTCTCAAATCTATAATTAAATAAGATGGGAAATTTCAAAATTATTAGACCAATGTGGGATTTAGGTAAGATTTGCTTGCATCATCTTACTCTAGGTTTCTCTCGAGGTGAAACCTTAACCTAGACCAGATTCCCTTGAAACTCCTCCAGGATTGCAACAGACTACCATACGCTGGAGCTAAATCAGGCTTCTATATAAAATGATACCGAGGTACTCCAAAACTGCTTTGACGAACAGACTATTCCATATTTCTAATTCATTATGTGTCATTAACTCATAGACTTGGCTAGATATGTTAAACCAAGTAGGTTTAGAATCACCATCACTACAAGTTGGGAAAGTTAAACATTTCAAACCTAAATTGAGATTTTAATTCCAAAAAAATTTTATTCGGTTGCTTGTCGGTAAATGTCCTAATTTTTTAACCAGTCTTGTGGTAAAAAAATTAGAACATTCATTAGAATAATTGTGGCAACAATTATCCATGATTTGATGCTTTGAAAATAATCCAACTTTGAAATAGCTTTTCAATTAGGAAATTGACATGAAAACATTTATAGTGGCAAAAATATTTAAAAATAACAATAAAAACTTATAAATGTTATGGAACAAGTTATAGAAATAAATTTAACAATATAATTACCGAAAATTATTTGATGTAGCTTAGAAGTATAGAGCAACTGTTTTTACAATTTTATTACGTCACAAAATGGAAAACAAATTTAGAATGCTATTAAAAAATATGTCGCTTTAGAAATCTGAAATGCAGTTTAATATTTTAGAAACGAGAATAAAACCGAAGAATTTATAATAAGTAAAATTTCTGATGAGAGATCGCTTTTATTCATTCCATTACAACTGTAAAATAAATACGTTTGAAAAAAATGCAATGATTAAGATAGAACATAACATTACTCTGATGTTAAAGGCTGGTCTTCAATGCATTAAATTTTTCAAACACAAAATTTTCTCTTACTCAGCTTTACTTTCCAAAATATAAACCACGATCGACATTGATTACGGAAGTTTCTCCAACAGCAAGAAAAATCTTTAAAAGCATCAAAGTTCTTGAAAAACTGGTTTCAAAGTTCAAGCAGTGATAGTTTAAAACTGGAGTCCGGACGAATTCCGGAACAGATTGCTCGGATGGCTGCCCAAATGGGACTCCGGCTCGGAAAAGTGCGTAACAGTTTTTGGTTACTTTGATATTAGATGTTTGAGATAGGATGGGCTTATTACTAGATATCTGATAGCTTCCCGGCTCGTGTTTCTGGCACTATATAAAAAGATGTCTATTTTTCATCCTGTAAAAGAGATAATATTTTGTGCTTTTCGAAAATATTCTTCTTCTTAACTCTTATTTCATGGTTCAAGAAGTAAATGTTGGATGACGATAAGTTTATTAAGTGGTCTGGAAATAAAGGAAAGTGTAAAAATAAAATAGAAGCGAAAATTTTCGGAAAATGAAACCAACTTTTCACTCTAATGTAGCATGACGGCATTGAAAATATTTAAAATAAAAGAAAAGTTTTCAGAAACAAATTTCTATTAATGTACTATAATGTAGAGAATAATTTATTTTTATCGAAAACATGGATGTCGAAACTAAATCGTAAAAGCATGAGGGTGCTACTGGAAATACTCAAAGTAAACCATTAACCCTTTGATACCGAGCGAGCCGGTCCCGGGCGGTCTAAAAATTTCCTTTTGGCAGTGAAAAAGGCCGGTCTGAGGCGGTTGGCTTCTGTTGAGGGGTGTTGAGGTTCTCAGATCGCTTAGGAGATAAACGAGGTAGGGGGTCCAATTATCCTTTCAAATCGCAGCCCATTTCCGTGCGCCTTAAGGGAAGGTTGTAGCAGGTGGTGGGGTGGTAAATGACCACCCAGGTTGGGAGAGTCCAATTCATGTCGCTTCCTCCCAAAAGTTCCCGGTTTTAAGGGAGCTGGAAGAAAAAAGTCGCCTCGGGTTTAAAGAGTTAATCACATTAAGAATATATTTTAGTTTTTCACCCCAGTAGTACAAAAATATTGTACAATAATGTACGACATTGAAAAATATTCACAATTTTGTATAATATTGTACAATATTGTCCAACATGTTGTGCTACCTGAACATGAAGGTTTAGAAATTTTCTTTCTTAAGATATTCATTGTGTTATAATTTCTTTACAGTATTGTTCTCAGCGCTTCGCGCTATTCCGATTTCATGTCTACGTCCAAATTGTTGATAACAAAATTGTATATTTTAGTATACTTAAGAAAGGGTCCTTTATTTTTTATTATTTTTACTCTTTTTCTTTAATATATTTCATAATTTATTATTATAATATTAAGAAATCTTTTAATCATTTTTTTCTAACTTACTTCTAGAAAGTGGCATTCATGTGGAATAAAAATTTGATTAAAATGAATTGAGTAAGAACTGAAAATATAAAAATATTAGATTTTCATCGGAAAAAAACAACTGCATAAAATTTAAGAATTATACTACATCGGAAAATGAGTGAAAAAGAAATTATAGAATTCCATTTTTTAAAATACGAAACAAAACAGGATATGTAAATGTGGGTAAAAACTGCTTGAAAATCGCGCTCAACAAATAACTTCAAATCATGTCAATAATGCTCAACTCAAGTTTATTATATACACTCAACGTGACCAAAATACTGTATAATATAAGGAAAACCACTGAATCAAATTTCGACTCATCCCTGCAGTACATGCACTGACATTATAAACCGGATTCTCTGTCAAAAAGCTTTTTTCTCAACTCGCCTGTGTGTGGAGAAACAACCATTAGAGTGGCGTGAGACACGGCACGATCTTGGCCGCCAGAACAACCGGTTCCAATTATCCCCGAAACAGCCTAAACTTTCCTTTTCTTGTGCAACAATGTTTGGCGTCCGGGTCACCACTTTGGCGGCAGGGGGATAGAACTGGGGACCTTTGGGTTCCGAGCCGAACATCCTAACCACTAGACAAAGGGCATTCCCCATGTCCGGAGGCGGATATTGGCTAATATACATCACAGTAAGATGGCGTAGCACGGTGCGCCACAAATGGATCGATTGTTCAGCGAATTGTAACTAAGCCAAACATTTCTGTATGAAAGTCGAATATTGCGCGGAAATCACGTGTGTACGAATCCAGATGACTAATTCGCGTTGTGTGCAGTAACAGAAGAGATACAGTGCAACAAATAGCAACAAAATGCAATTAACTATCATCAGAAGCATATCCATGCTCTCTCTATAAGACAGATTTTGCAACGAATTGGTTTTAATACCAACAACCAGCCAGACATCAATTGATTTCGCTGTGAAACCGAAAGAATAATCTTCCATGGAATACAGAACACTTGCATTGGACATTTGATGACCGGAAACAATGTTCCTGGTCAGACGGTCCAGATTTCTTCTCCAGCTTATTGGTGGAAGGTTACGCCTTTAAGAGATAGAAAGGGAAGATCTGTTCAAAACTCCGAAATACCACCGTTCAATCTGCGGGAATCAAGCGTTGTCATTTTGCTGGCATGGCATAATATTCCTCCCAACCAGTTATGACAACCTGTAGAGTCCATGCCTAGAAGAAGAACTTTAGTCACCAAAGCCAAAGGAGGTTCAGCACTCAATGTATACAGGCTATTAATATGAGCGCTTTCTTGTTCAGAGCACTGTATAAAAAATGACCAGTAATAAAAGAAACGCAACATGTGTGGTACGCATTTCACAACACTGGAAAACGAATGCCTTAAAACAAGTTTCGAAAAGAAACTGCAGGATAAGAAATGGCGTTGGTATCTGTCCTTAAACCCTTGAGGACAGGTTACTTTTTAGAACACTCAGATCAGCTTGGCGCCAACCCATTTTTTTCAACCCTGTGCTTATTTAATTATATAAAACTTTATTCTTCATATTGTAATAAGATTAGGGGTATGAATGAATGGATAATAAACACATTTGTGTTTGAATTTTCGCCGCTATCCTCTTCATGGATTGGGTTTTCTACACCTCAATATCGAGATGGGTGAACTGTGCCGCACATTATACGCCTTACCTGTCCGCAAAGGGTTGATAAAAGCATAATTCAATGAAACATCTTTGCAGTAGTGAATTATGAATCCTCAGTGGTTTATGTCTGCGGCAGATCGTGATAATAGTCGCAAGCACCTAATTGTAGATATAATTAATGTATCTGGAAGATTTCACATGTTGTGCGCTGAAAGGAAAAAGGCTGTGAATGACAATTCGTTGCGAGTGTTTGATGAGTCAATTGCTTTGAAGAAGCAATAGCTAGTACTTTGGGAGACAAATATCTACTGAGAACTCAGGTGCTTGGTTCCATACTAAATGAAATTGTCAAAAACACCATTTTAATTATCATATTAGGTTTCTGAAAAGAGTGCAGTATTATATTTTCTGAACATATGAAATTATATTTCCTATTTCGTTATGATTAATGTTGCAATTTTCTGACACAATTTTACACCGATTGAATAGAAATCAATAAAATCCGCCTCACAAGTACGTGTTGAAGCTTCCATTCTCGATAAGAGAGAATTTCTTATAAAAATAAGTATTTTCATCCTCAGGAAAAATGTGTGACATGCTTATCAGGATAACCAACAAAAAATGTGAAAGGAAAAAAAAGAATAGTCACAAGAATATTCAGTGTGAAGAAAGTGATAATAAAATAATAGCCTAATTTTCGATGGAGTTTCGAAGAAATGTTATAAAGTTTTTTAAATAACTTTCTCTCGATTGATTCAAAACTTCCGATGAATGATGAATATGTATTAAAGAAAAGGAAGAAAGCTGATAAAGATTGAGTGAAATTTAGGAAAGTAGAATTTAAATAAATTTCATGCTCAGTTTCTTTACAATGATATAACCATTGCATCAGAAAAATAGTATCGTTAGTAGATGATTAGAAAGGAGATATTTCGAAAAAATCTTTTTATTGAAAGATTTAGGGTAAAAAAAATGCAACATTTTCTTTGTTCGCTGTCGAATTAAATAGGAGTGACACATCTCTTTGAAAAAAAATGGATTTTTAAATATAAAAAGGTAGACATCTACATTTATAAAAGTATATTCTTTGAACTTCAAACGCCTATTCGAATATACAATTTTTTCTAAGAATCGTTCTTTTCAAAAATCTGAATCCATTATATTCTTTTTAATGAAAACGGCATAGAATGTTTCAGTTTAACAACAACAAAAAAACTCTGATAATTAGAAATAATTATAAACTCTCCAGCATATAGTTTGCTTTAAAAAAATATTTAATTCCCTTTACAGCAGAAAAAAAGCGGTTTCTTAAAGAACGTAAATTTTTTTTTAAATATTTTTTCCAATATCGCAACAAAAGATCACATTTTATCCAATGTGTGTTGCTTTAACTACCTTTAAATCAATTAAAATGAAACGAATGATTTAAATAAAATATCAGTTGTTCATTGTTTCCTTATAAAAATTGCATGTTTTAAATGCGAAATTCATATGGTTTGAAGGAAAGTGTATAGTTCTGATGAAAAATAAAATATGGAGAAAATGCCGTATTTAAAATTCAAAATAATCATCAGATTCATAAATGCAGTAAACTCAAATAATATTTAAAGTAAAGGGAAAAAAGGAAAATGAATGGTGAATATTGTTAGATACAAAAAGAAATAATTGGTTTTTAGAAACAAAAATACTATGCCTAAATCAATTTTCAATGTCCAATATCTTAAATTACAGTAGATACCGGAAATTAATCAATTTTTATAGAGTTAAATAAATTTTGAATCTTTTTATTTAAGTAAAAACTTTTAAAATTTTAATAGTGGAATCGTATCCATTTACTAGTTAGAAGATTTTAAATTTGAATTCGTTCCTATTACTTCTGTAACTGTCAAAATTTCTCAGCTTTAAATGGTAACAACTGGAGATACAAAGAGACGTGAAGAAACGTTTGTCTTTAGGATAGACTCCATCTTCGCATGCTAAAAATTTAATTTTCAAAGGTGTGAGTACATATGAAACAAAGGAGGCTCGTTTGGTTGAGTTAGTAAATCTAACAAAAGAAGAAGTAAATCTAATAAATCAGTTTTCTGGTTCTACCATTAAATACTGGTTCAGATGAAATTCCAGGCTTGTTAGTTGATTCTACGATCTCAATCATGCGCCTGAACGTTCCCTCTGTATTTTCCATCATAATAACACGATTCCTTATAGGAAGACTACATATTGCAATGGTTCCCATGACACAACTTCACTGTTCATGACCCCTAGAACCTAAAACCACCCTTCGTTCAAAAGTTTATATGTCATATCAATGTCATGAAAATCAATCAATGTTGAAATTAAATGGAAAGATTGTAGTTTATCGGTAAAAGCGTATAGATGCTCATCAGGGGTAAATAAGTGAAATCTATACGAACCGCTAAAACATTAGAGAAATCATAATGTTTTCTGCAATATATATATAATCTCCATTTTACTTTAACATTTTTTGACTTTCATGATATATATATATATATATATATATATATATATTGTAACAAAATTGCTTTGTGGGTGTACGTGAATGCAATCCAATAAGCAGGATTAAAAAGATAAAGCTCTTTATTTTACAAATATTCCCAAGCAAAGAAACGTAGCACAAGTATTAACACAGCACTAGTAAAAATTCACAACAGAGACTACCAATAAATCTCAATACAACGCTCAAAGGTTTCTTGTTAACTCACCAGCTTGCTTGCAGGTCAAATTCCAACTGACTCTTCTTGGCTTGAGAGCTTGCCTTTATACCTTTCAACGGGAAGTGACTTCATTATGTAGGAAGTTCATGAAACCAGTAGAAATAGGTGGAAAGTTTGAGGTCCTTCTAGAAAATTCCCTTTGTCGCCAAACTGGTCGCCAAATTTATCGCCAAGTCGCCAAGTTTGTCGCCAAGTCTAGCATCTCAGGGAAACGACTTTATAGCTTTGTAACAATATATATATAAACTTTTTAACGAAGGGGATATATGTTGTAAGGATAGTGGAAATCTTTGTCGAGTTCGTAGATGGGATATCCAGCTCAAATGGGGTGGAAATGGTGGGGGGTTCAAATTTTCATTTCCCCATAAATCATTTACAGTTGAAAATAGAAAGAAACTTTAAATTAGGTGAATTATCGCCTTATCATAGCGAGCAATTTTTGCAGTTTAACTTTTTCGATAACTGCAATTGCTTAGAAGTTACGAGCTGAAAAGTGATTTTCCCTCCCTTTTCCTTCCCTCCTCCGTATTTAAAGTATCTTTCAACCTATGCATGTTACCCCTTGTTGGAACGCTCTCGTCATTTGCATTCTCTTCCATCCTCTTTTATTCTTGCAGCTCTATTCCTTATGAAAATAGAGGGCGAAATGTTATTTCCCTTATATCTACGGACTATTCATTTTACCATAATTCCATTACAATTGAAAATAGAAAGAACATTCAAATTAAGCGAATTATTGCCTTATTTTAACGAACAATTTTTGCATTTCAACCTTTTCGATAGCTGCAATTCTTAGAAGTTATAAGCTGAAAAGTGGTTTTCCCTCCCTTCCCCTCCCCCGTATTTAAAGTATGCTTGTTACCCCTTGTTAGAAAGCTCTCGTCATTTGCAATCTTTTCCACCTCCTTTTATTATAGCAGCTATAATCCTTATGAAAATAAAGGGCGAAATGTTCTTTTCCTTATATCTCCGAATTAAAGAGAACCTTAATTACCTTTGCCTTCCGGCTTGCAGACGGGAATTTTTTTATGCATTGTTGTAGTCAACAAACAGATAGAACAATATTTGAACTCCAATGTTTACAATTTTCTATTGTAAACTGGGCAGACAGAAGAATATAAAGAGACAAATGGTGTTTATGCCTTCTCTGCCACACTAAAGTTGATTTTCGGCAGTCAGGTTCTCTCAGCTTTATTTTTCTCCTCTCGGTGAAGACTGCAATGAACTTTCAAATTAAAATT